ATCAAGACTTACCCTAAAATATACGGTTTTCATGTTATATTTAGGATGACGTCATCGAACAAGGTTGTCAATGTCTATGTTTATTATTCTACAGGGTTGTCGTTATGTATGGAAACGGTCTGATAATTCAGAACCGGCTTGAAAAAAAATTACAAAATTTCCTACCTGGGGGTTTTTGGGAATACCCGATTCAATGGTGGTATTTGCAATGTTGCCAAGTTTACCATTTCTAAGATGTCATATGTAACTTGATTTTTTTAAATGGATGCCCCTCTTTATTTTTATGGTAATCAATTCAGCGTCCCCTAAGTATGTAACTGCCTGTAGGGGCATCCATTTAAAATCAAGTTAAATACGGCATCTTATAAACGGTAAACTTGGCAACATTACAAATACCATAAAGCATTGGACCGGGCATTCCCGAAAACCCCCCAGGTAGGGAATATTGTACATTTTGCTAAAGTCTCTTCTGAACTATGAGACTGTTTCCATACATTTTAACAAAAAATCTGTGTTGCCATATTTCATTAACCAAGTAAAATGGAGTTTTGGCATTTTGGGATTTTAGTAATGTTAGGACGCTGAATTAATTATAATAAAAATGGGCATCTATTTAAAAAAATCAAGTTACATACGGCATTTGAAAAACGATAAACTTGGCAACATTGCAAATATCACCATTGAATCGGGCATTCCCAAAAACCTCCACGTAGGAAATATTGTAAATTTTTTTTGAGCCAGTTCTGAAATATCAAACCGTTTCCATCAGGGCCCGCTCTAGCCATTTGGCCATCCTGGACAAAAATACAAATTGCCGCCCCAGAAATTGCTTTGGAGATGAAGGTAAAGGAGGCTATTCAGTGGCCACTCGTGATTTTTATTTTAAGGAAGGTAGTCTAAAAAAACAACAGCGTCGTAGGTGAATTTTCCAATGGAAAATCGCTCCGGGAAAATTTCTGAAAAAATGACTTTTTCAAGTAAAATTGAGAAAAACTCATCCTCTCACATTTTATTTTATTTCTGGAAAACTAATAGGGCAAAACTTGTGAAATTTTTCCAGGAGAAAGAAGAAAATGAGGAGTTCATTATAGGAAAATTTCAAAATTTTTTAGTGAAAAATCACTCCAAGAAAAGTTATGGAAAATTGACTTTTTTAAGTAAAATTCATCCTTCCACATTTCAATTTTTTTCTGGAAAATTGGCAAAGTAAAAATTATGAAATGTTTCCAAAAGAAATCTTTTGTGGCATTTTGTGATTTTCGCAATTTTTTGTATTTTTTTCAAATTTCTATGATTTTCTTGAATTTTTTGATTTTTATAAAATTTATATTTTTGTAAATTTTCATGATTTTTATGATTTTCGTACATTTTTGTGATTTTTGTAATTTTTATAAATTTTCATGATTTTTTGAATTTTCATGATTTTTGTGATTTTTTGTTTTTTATGCACTTTTGTGGTTTTTTGTGATTTTCACATTTTTGGAATTTTTTAAATTTTAATGATTTTTGTAATTTATTGCAATTTTTCAAATTTTTGATTTGTTTTTCTTAAACTTTTGTGGCTTTTTGTGATTTTTATAATTTTCTGAATTTTTATGATTTTTTGTGTTTTTCGTAATACATAATTTCTATAATTTCTACGATTTTTTTGAATTTTTTATGAATTTTTTGAATTTTTATGATTTTCAATAATTTTCATTGATTTTTATAAATCTTGATCTATGATTTTCTGAATTTTTAGTATTTTTTAAAATTTTTATGATTTTCATTAATTTTTATGATTTTCTTTTAAATTTCTGTAATTTTCAATTTTAATTTTTATGATTTTTTTGAACTTGTGTGATTTTCGTAAAACTTTGTGAATTTCTAAATTTATTGTTTTCTTAAGGTTTTATAATATTTTCATGATTTTCATAATTTTTGTGATTTTCCAAGTTTTTATGATTTTTTAAAATTTTCGTAATTTTGTGATTTTCGTAAATTTTTATAATTTTTGTAACTTTCGGTTATTTTACTTATTTTCTGAATTTCTATGATTTTATTAAATCCTAAAGAATTCACAAAATTGATAAATTACAAAATTCACAAAAATTCTCAAAATTAAAAAAAAAAAAACACAAAATTTACATAAAAATTTATGAAAATCAAAAATCATAAAAATTTACAAAAATCATGAAAATTTCCAAATATCACGAAATGCACAAAAAATTATAGAAATTTACAAAAATCATGTCAATTTACAAAAATCATGAAAATTTCCAAAAATCATGGAAATTCACAAAAAATCATAGAAATTTATGAAAATCATGAAAATTTACAGAAATCATAAAAATTCATGAAAATCATGGAAATTCCTAAAAATCATGAAAACTTTCAAAAAGCATGAAAATTTACAAAAATCATGAAATTCATGATAATTTCCAAAAATCATGAATCATTCAGAAAAAAAAAACTTAAAAAATTTTCTCGAAAAAAAAAATCGAAAATTTTTTCAGAAAAAAAAACTCGAAATAAAATATTTTCTCAAAAAAATAAAAATTCTCGGAAAAAATACATAATCGAAATTCTTTTCAAAAAAAATAAAATAAAATTCATTTTTCTCGAAAATAAAAAAAAGCTTTTTCAAAAATTTTTGAGAAAAAAAAAATCAAAAATTTTTCTCAAAAAAAAGTTTTCTGACAAAAAATCCAAAATTAAAAATTGAAAAATTTTTCTCAGAAAAAAAAAATTAAAATTAAAATGTTTTGTAAAAAAAAAATTAAAATTCTGGAAAAAAAAATCAAAATCAATAAAAATTTCTGAGCGAAAAAATTTCAACAAAAAAATTATGAGCCAAAAAAAAAATTTTATTCAATTGACATTTTTGAAATTTGGACGTTTACAGGCGTCGCTCGGGAAGATCGAAATTTAAAAAATTGAAAAATTATAAAAGTTGCTCAAAAAGATTATTTTCTCAAAATTTTAAAAATTTAGACGTTTATAGGCGTCACTCGAAAGGATTGATTTTCTCGAAATTTGGACGTTTATAGGCGTCCCTTAAAAAGATAATTTTATTTAAATTAAAAAAATTGAATAAAAATAATAAAAAAACTGGCCGAAGAAAAATTTTGAAAATTTTCCAGGAAAATGAGGAGCTCATCTAAGGAAATTTCGAAATTTTCCAGTAAAAATTCACTACAGGGAAAATTGATTTTTTTAAGTAAAATTCATCCTTTCACATTTCAATTTTTTTTTGGAAAATTGGCAAAGCAGAAATTGTGAAATATTTCCAAAAGAAAAAGAAGAGTGAGGAGCTCTTTTTAGGAAAATTTCAAAATTTCCCAGTAAAAAATTCTGGGAAATTAACTTTTTCAAGTAAAATTAGGAAAAATTCATCCTCTCACTTTTCTTTTTTTTTTTCTGGAAAACTGGCAAAGCAAAAATTGTGAAATTTTTCTAGGAGAAAGACGAAAGTGAGAAGCTTATTATAGGAAAATTTTAAAATTTCCTAGTGAAAAATCACTCCAAGGAAAGTTCTGGAAAATTGACTTTTTTAAGCAAAATTCATCCTTTTACATTTCAATTTTTTTCTGGAAAATTGGTGAAGCAAAAATTGTGAAATTTTTTTAGGAGAAAGAGGTAAGTGAGGAGCTCGTTATAGGAAGATTTCAAGATTTTCCAGTAAAAAATCATTACAGAAAAAATTCTGAAATATTGACTTTTTCAAGTAAAATTAAGGAAAATTCATCCCCTCACATTTCAATTTTTTTCTGGAAAACTGGAAAGAAAAAATTATGAAATTTTTCCAAGAGAAAGACGAAAATGAGCGGCTTATTATAGGAAAATTTCAAAATTTTTCAGTGGAAAATCATTCCAGGAAAAATTCTGGAAAATTGACTTTTTTTGGCAAAATTCATTTTCTTATTTTTTAATTTTTTTTTTAGAAAATTGGCAAAAGGAAAATTGTGAAAATTTTCTAGGAAAAAGAGGAGTTCAGCAAATTTTTAAAATTTTCCAGTAAAAAAGCACTCGAGGAAAAAATTATTTAAGTATTAAAAAAAATTCACCCTTTCACATATTAATTTTCTTCAGGAGAATAGGCAAAGGGAAAATTTTCCAGGAAAAAGAGAAAAATGAGGGGCTCATTATAGGGAAATTTCAAAATTTTCCAGTGAAAAATCACTCCAGGAAAAATTCTGGAACTTTAACTTATTTAGACAAAATTAAGGAAAATTCACCTCTTACATTTTAATTTCTATTCCGAAGGTGCTCTATGAATTAATCTATGATTTAACTTTTTCTCTAAGTTATGACGTCATCGATAACGTAAGTAAGAACCTTCGTGCCGTGCAACGAACTATCTGTTTGTTTGAAATTTCAGACATAAAAAAACCTATTTTTCAAAAAAAAAGGCAAATGACGTAAATACAAACCCTCGTGAAACTAACTTTTTTTTACGCGTCTCATTTCCTTTCCATCAAATCGCATCAAAAAAAAACCCCTCAAATTTGGAGCCTAGTTGCGCTTATGTTCAAAGTAACTATGTATATATTTATTTTGAAGTCCTCTATACCTTGAATGATTATCCATATTAATTTGACACGATTCCTTGCCTAAATTCTAGAAAATCTTTTTTCCTAGATTTTTTTTTTGGTTATTTCTTGCCCAGTTATTGTTTGCTGTTATGAAAAGAATGTATGAGTTATAGGCAACTATATGAAAAAATTGTAAAAACCGCCATTGGTCATCTTGTTGTGACTCGCCGACGACTGTACACATCATAAAAACGTCCGGCAAATGTCAAAGATTTTACCAATCCCAACAAATGTTATGCCTACAGGTTAAAAAACACGTGAAATAAAAGTCCCAAACGATTTTTGAAGAGAACGTAAAAATGAGTAACGTTAAAAAAAGTAAACTGAGGTGCGACTTAAATTGGGAGAAGTTCTAAAATTACAGTTGAGCTAGATCGTTTTGAATTGATGTAGTTTCCTATTTTCCATCCAAAAACCGAGATATATGATTCTTCTTCAATAACCAAAATAAAAATAAAACACCAACTATTGTTATAATTACATGTTTATTCAGAAATAGAACATCTCAATCAATTTCACCAATGTAAACCATTTTATCACTACCTCCTGAAGCCACTATAGGCTCATTTGGATGAAACGCTACGCTGTTAACGCAACCAGTGTGTCCGGGTAATTTATAGATGATTCTTCTGGACGTTGTGTCCCAAATGTAGACGAATCTGTCAGCAGAACCACCACTTACCTAGAAATAATGAAATTTGATGAAACCTGTTGTATGTACAAAATAACAGACAAAAGCAATTAAGAACTATCTGATAAAACTTACTTTACAAAAATTATTTTACTAAAAATTCTTACTTTATTTCCATCTGGAGACCAAGCGCACCTTAATAAATTCTTTTCGAAATTGTGCTGATGTCCGCTGAAAACTTTTACGCATCGTTCCGAGGGGGCGTAAGGCCTGACATCCCAAATTCTCAACGTGTTGTCCATGGAATTGCTCAATAAGTAAGAGCCATCCGCACTGAGCGCCAAACCGGTTATCGTGTCAGTGTGTCCTTTCATTGTGTAGAGGATTTCGCGTTTACGAAGATCCCAAACCTAAATTCAATGTCAGATAATATAATTTTGAAATATAAATTTTTTCAGTTGTAGGTTCAATACAAACAATTTTTCAATATCAGCTAAAATTTCTACATTTGTAAGATTTTTCAAGCAATTTTCTTCTACTTTTATACAAGTGATAGGGCATGTTATGTTACAACCCTCAAAATTTTCATAAGCGCATCTATAACGTATAACGTTATATCTAAAGTACAACTCTGATGCAGATTTTCTTTCTTTCCATTTTGACACCAATTGAAAAATAGTTATTTACATTCCAAGCTGCGAAAGTATACTTTTAGGTGCGAGGTGTATTTAAATAGCCGAGGCGAAGCGGAGCGCAGCCGAGGCTATTTGAATATCTCCGAGCCCATAAAAGGACTTTTGCAGCGTGTAATGTATTAAACTTTTCATTCTTCCCCCGATTTTATTTAAAACCATTCAAGTTATAAAATACACAATTTACAGATGCTGAAAATTTTCTGGGCCTAACGCGGTTTATTGCCATAACAATATTGCAGTGGCGGCTATTCAGGTGCATTAGGTGAAGTGCGACTTCACCGAAAAATTAAAAAATAAAACCAAAAAATATGTACAACTAATATTCAGTTTTTTCCAGCCGCCACTGAAAAAAAAGTAGAATGACCACAGTTTTGACGACAGTTGTTAACGTTAACGTTACTTTGGTAACATTCGTGTCAACAAAAAATATATTGACAGTTTTTAAATAAGTATTATTTTTCAATATAAAGTTGACGAGTACGACTCTTTAAGTTCAATATTTGGCTAAAATTTAGTTGAAAATGATTTCCATTGAAGAGGCAGCAATTATCGCGTGCAAAAGTTTGTTACCGGACAAATCCAAAGACTTTACATTACAATCAAGCCTATGAAAATTTTATTAAATGGTGTACAGCGAAAGATGTGTCCACAATAACGGAAGATGACGTTGCTTTGGAACAGGATTTCAATCAGCATTTGCTGTTAAATCTTTCAGGAACATACAACAATTGCAATTTTACATTTAATTTCCAATCTTAATAAATATTTGATATTACTAATTATTTGACGTTTATATTTTTTCGTCGTCGGGCACGAAAGTTTTTCATACCTAGCAACCGATGACCTAGCATGTTTTACTTTCGCTTTCGCTTGCCTATTCAAGATAAAAAAATGGATTTTCGTAGGGGGGAGAATGAAAAGTAATTGTTGATTTTAGTTCCTACCTTAACATCATTATCAATCCCACCAGTAAAAACATTCTCAGCAGTATCATTAAAACTGACAGCAGTAGTTTGATAAACCGAGTTCATACTGAAAGAGCACTGCTTTTTTCTTTGGTCCCATATTCTCACTGTACTGTCGTCGCCTCCGGATACAATCAATTGCGGACCTCTTCTCGAAGGTTGCGCACAATTTACAAACGAAGTGTGGCCTTTGTATTTTTTGATTCTTTCTCCGGTCACCAAATCCCAAAGTCCCAACGTGTGATCGGTGGATGCTGTAATGATGTTCGCTCCCTCCGTGGTGAAATGTAGTTCTGTTACTGCGCCGGTGTGTCCGGTCATTACCGATATGTTTTCGCATTCTCCATAGACGCTCCATAGAACTAGAATAATTGAGACAAAAATTGAACAATTTGGATAAACTAGCAACTAGCAACTGATGAATAAAAAGTTTTTTTGCGCAACCGTCCGCGAAATGAGCTTTGACGGCCGCTACACAAGCCAAAAAAATTCAATTTCGCGGCCGCCACACCTGACAAGCAAAATGTGTCAAATCTATAATAGTTTTTCTGGAACTTTACATAATTTTTATGGTGGCACAGAAAAAAGTGCGCAAGTATATCATGAACGCAAAATTTTTTAACGTCCTTGCCACCTATCAAAAAGAGGTAAAACTGGGTAGAATCTACAACAAAAAGAATTTAAAAAAATTTAATCAGTTGTGTTTAAGCACAAACTGGAATGACGTCTTTGACAAACCATCAGCATCAGAACCATTTCGCCACTTTCACACTCTTCTTATACATAATTTTGAAAAAGCATTTCCAAAGATAAAAATTAAACATAAAAACGCGAAATCATGGATAACCAGAGGATTAAAAGTATCAAGCAAAAATCTAAGATCGTTATATGCTATGCTATAAGTAAGTAAGTACCTTTCTAACAGCCACTTTTTTACAACTTATGCAAAGAGCTATACCGAAACATCTATAGAAAGTGTATCAAAATGGCAAAGCAAAGATATTATCAAGATAAATTAGATGAAGCTAAGGACAAATCTAGGGAAAACTGGCAAATAATCAATTCGCTACGCGGAAAAAACAAGAATTTAAACTGCAAGACTAGCACTGAACCAGAGTTAATGAATGATTAGTACTGCTCAGTTGCAGAAAACTTAACCTCAAATCTCAGCTCATCGGTAGATCCTATTTCTTGGAGCATATAAATATTCCTGAAGTTCTAACATTCGCTGCAACATCTCTTTTGGAAGTAGAGCAAGTGCAAAACATGGTAAAAAACAAAACTAGCTCAGGCATTGAAGGTTTGTCCACCAAAGTCCTGCAGCATCTTCCAGATGCTACTTTGTCAGTTCTTGTAGAATTCATCAATCAGTCCTTTATCGTTGGCTATTTTCCAGATTGTTTGAAACAGGCTCTTGTTCTACCAATTCACAAAGGTGGCGACTTGGAGGACCAATAAAATTTCCGCCCTATATCATTATTATCTTCTCTTTCCAAAGTTATTGAGAAAATTGCTAAAACAAGAATTACCTCTCACTTTGGAAAGATTAACATCATCGCACAATCTCAGTTTGAACTTCAACAAAAAAATGGCACGCATGACGCCATATTTACTCTCTTGCAGGAGGTATATCTCAATATTAACGAGGGAGATCCGGTTGTGGCAGTGTTTTGTGATTTCTCAAAAGCCTTTGACTGTGTGAATCACGAAATACTGCTGCAGAAGCTGGCTTCAGGGGCTCTTCTGCAAGATGGACGTTATCTTATAACACAGGCAGATCCCAGATAGTCAGCTTCAAACAACCTTAATCAAACAGTAAAGAAATAACCCAGGGAGTGCCACAGGAATCTGTTCTCAGCCCTATTTTCTTTCTTGCCTATATATTAATGATCTCACCTTTATCAACATCAATGGAAAGTTTTATGTCTTTGCTGATAATAGCACTATATTGTGGACAGGTAAAAGGGGCGAGCTTGAGGATGTGATTGAGAATGATCTAAAAAGGGTTAACGAATGGTGTGATGCAAACCAGTTGTGTTTTAACGTTAAAAAAACTAATATCCCCTTTAGATTGTCCATAAATTCTATTCCCCTGAGTGACCAGCTTATTGAATCCCATCAGAGTGTCAAGTTTCTTGGACTGGTAGGTATTTGATAAACAGTTGGATTTTAAAGAACATATTATCCAACTCAAACCTAAACTATCATCTGCCAGTTTTGCACTTAAAATAGTTATTAAGGTTCTCAATCTGCACTCAGCAAGGATGGTGTATTATGCTCTGTTTGAGTCTCGGGCAAGGTACGGGGTGTCGTTTTGAGGTTACTGTTCCAAAACTAACTTTGACTTAGTGTTCCGAATTCAGAAGCGGGCTATTCGAATCTTGAGTGGAGCAGCGCCACGGGAACATCGCAAACCATTATTCAAAAAGCAAAAAATTCTAACTTTGACTGCTATCTTTATACTAGAGTCTGTTTGCCTTATTCATAAAGGGCAAATAAATCCAAATGCTGCTACTTATGCCCCTGAACAATCCACTAAGCAAACTGCAAACCAACTTATACCCGTTCCTATACCTAGACTAACTTTGACCAAGGAATCAGTAATTTATGAGAGCATCAAGTTATACAACCACCTCCCACTCGAATTCAGGTCAATAAGAGAAATTAAAAAATTTGAAAAATATCCCTTCTACAATTGTGATGAATACTATGCTGAAGCACTCTCTTAGGATTTTTTCAATTTTCTCAAACTTCAAGGTATTGTTTCACTTAAATTGTAATAGAATGTCGAAGAGTGATTAAAAAGACGTCAAATGAACCTAGATTTAACCCCCCTCCCCCTCTGATAAAAGAAATACCCAAATAAAATGTCAAAAAATAGGATTTTTTCAATTTCCTCACACTTCAAGGTATTGTTTCACTTAAATTGTGATAGAATATCGGAGAGTGATTGAAAAGACGTCAAATGAATCTAGATTTAACCCCGCTCCCCCTCTGATAAGAAAGATACCCAAATAAAATGTCAAAAAAATAGGATTTTTTCAATTTTCTCAAACTTCAAGGTATTGTTTCACTTAAATTGTAATAGAATGTCGAAGAGTGATTAAAAAGACGTCAAATGGACCTAGATTTAACCCCCCTACCCCTCTGATAAGGGAGATACCCAAACAAAATGTCAAAAACATAGGATTTTTTCAATTTTCTCAAACTTCAGGGTATTGTTTCACCTAAATTGTGATAGAATTAATGAGGAATGAGAAAGTCGCCGAATGAAACTCGATCCGACCTCCTAGTCCCTCTTGTAAGGGAGATGGCCAAATAAATTGTGCAATTTTTTAAAATAAGTACTAAGTAGGTTTATTTAACTACAAAAGCTTTTATGTATAACAAAAAAACAGGTAGATAACCCAATAAGCATAATCAATGGAATAAGAAATTTTCTTCAATCAATAATCTTAATCTAAGTATTTACCTATTATTGTTTAACACTTCTTTTTTCTTTTGACGTCTTTTCAATCACTCTTGGATATTCTATCACATATTAAGTGAAACAATGCCTTGAAGTTTGAGAAAATTGAAAAAATCCTATGTTTTTGACATTTTATTTGGGTATCTCCCTTATCAGAGGGGTAGGGGGGTTAAATCTAGATTCATTTGACGTCTTTTCAATCACTCTTCGATATTCTATCACAATTTAAGTGAAACAATACCTTGAAGTTTGAGAAAATTGAGAAAATCCTATGTTTTTGACATTTTATTTAGGTATCTCCCTTATTATCAGAGGGGTAGGGGGGGTTAAATCTAGGTTCATTTGACGTCTTTTCAATCACTTTTCGATATTCTATCACAATTTAAGTGAAACAATACCTTGAAGTTTGAGAAAATTGAGAAAATCCTATGTTTTTGACATTTTATTTGGGTATCTCCCTTATCAGAGGGGTAGGGGGGTTAAATCTAGGTTTATTTGACTTCTTTTCAATCACTCTTCGATATTCTATTACAATTTAAGTGAAACAATGCCTTGAAGTTTGAGAAAATTGAAAAAATCCTATGTTTTTGATATTTTATTTGGGTATCTCCCTTATCAGAGGGGTAGGGGGGTTAAATCTAGATTCATTTGACGTCTTTTCAATCACTCTTCGATATTCTATCACAATTTAATTGAAACAATACCTTGAAGTTTGAGAAAATTGAGAAAATCCTATGTTTTTGACATTTTATTTAGGTATCTCCCTTATTATCAGAGGGGTAGGGGGGGTTAAATCTAGGTTCATTTGACGTCTTTTTAATCACTCTTCGATATTCTATCACAATTTAAGAGAAACAATACCTTGAAGTTTGAGAAAATTGAGAAAATCCTATGTTTTTGACATTTTATTTAGGTATCTCTCTTATTATCAGAGGGGTAGGGGGGGGTTAAATCTAGGTTCATTTGACGTCTTTTCAATCACTTTTCGATATTCTATCACAATTTAAGTGAAACAATACCTTGAAGTTTGAGAAAATTGAGAAATCCTATGTTTTTGACATTTTATTTAGGTATCTCCCTTATTATCAGAGGGGTAGGGGGGTTAAATCTAGGTTCATTTGACGTCTTTTCAATCACTCTTCGATATTCTATCACAATTTAAGCGAAACAATACCTTGAAGTTTGAGAAAATTGAAAAAATCCTATGTTTTTGACATTTTGTTTGGGTAGCTCCCTTATCAGAGGGGTAGGGGGGTTAAATCTAGGTTTATTTGACTTCTTTTCAATCACTCTTCGATATTCTATTACAATTTAAGTGAAACAATGCCTTGAAGTTTGAGAAAATTGAAAAAATTCTATGTTTTTGACATTTTATTTGGGTATCTCCCTTATCAGAGGGGTAAGGGGGTTAAATTTAGATTCATTTGACGTCTTTTCAATCACTCTTTGATATTCAATCACAATTTACGTGAAACAATACCTTGAAAATTGGAAAAATAAAAAAGCAACTTATTTTTTCAACAATTTATAGTTTATAGTAAATTGGCGAATAAGTAGTGAAATAACCCTGGGGAAATGTCTTTTGGGGTCCATCACACTATCCGGAAACACGAATTTGCCATTTTTGAAGCTTTTACAGTAAAATAGACAACTCAAATAATAATTTTATGAAAAAAAAAATGCGGGTTTTTTCATTTTTTTGCAAGAAAATTCAGTTCAAACTGACGGAAATTGACCATTTCATAAATCGAATATACAACATTTTTACGTAATAAAAATGCAAGGTGATATCAACGTTGCCACATTGTGTGATATTTCCTGAGCTTAAATAACAATGAACAAAAAAAAAACATAGTCATAGTTTCACTTAGAATTTACTTATATTTCTAACCAATAATAAGTTCCATTAAGCATTTGTATCTATACATTATAATATAAGAATGGAAAAGTTAAATTAAAAACTACTTAAACTAAACAAAGCAAACTTCTTTAGGGAACAAAATGTAATTAATCAACTAACTAATCTTACAAGAAACCATTTAATATTTTTGTCCAATTTGCGATGTCAAGTTATACATTCGTTGAATGGCATTTTTGCCATATATCTGCTTCCACATATATTGGTCAATATATTGTGGCCAATATTTTGAATGCATAACACCCATAGCTCTAAGATATTTTTTCAAGCCAGACCAATACCCTTCCACCTGGTTGGTACAGACCCCTGTAATAGGATCTTTGAAATATTTGCTATGGTTTACTGTTCGGTGGATGTAACCATAGTCTACTAATCTAGAGTAAGCGCGCCAATTGTCTGTCCATATTTCACTACCGACCCTTACATGTTTTCTTATAATCGGTAGAAGAATCGCAGCGGATCGATTTTTGACATATTGAATATATCCCCTTTTTTCAGTCGCATCATAAATTCCTAATATCCACGACTCTTTCACCAAACGACCTCTGTTATATTTTCTTATAGAAATTACCGATTCATCAATCTGTACCAAATGATTCTCTCCGCCTAAAAAAAATAAAAATTATAACAGATGATCCTCTTCTCAACCTTTGACACAGATCAATGAATAATATCAATTCTTATCAGTTTAATATCACTATCGCTCTCTTTTTTGATAATGACACATAAATAAAAAATGAATCAATAGTAAAGTAATCATTTTTTTCTGGTTCCCGTAAAAAAAAAGATGATTTAATTTTAGAACTTTTTCATTTAAAAAAAAAAAAACATAAAATCAATAATCTTCGTAATAAGTGCTAGTCTTCATATGTTAGTACCTATTATAGGAAATGAAAAAATCTCAAATACTTAACCCAAACTAACCTGTCCTCGAAATAAATGATCTTTGTATGTTGATATTTTAGAAAAAAAAATTCTTACCTAATAAAAATAAATCATCTTCTTGGAGTAATTTCCATGACAAAATATCATGTATATTGCTGTACTAAAGCGTTCCTGGATTTTCCCAATAGAGCTGATGCTGACAAAACTCTGCATTCGCAGGCCCAATTCCACATAATAAATAAAACGTCACGGACTGGAACGTTCATTTTTTCAAAATACCTTCCCGTTAATACGGAATATGTTTTTCTGCATTTTTTGCAAAAAAACACATAATTGAGTGACGACGCACCATTTTTATATAACAAATCACACTTCTTTCGGCAGTTCCGAATTTTCCACCGAAAAGAATCTTTCAGAAGATTCACCTGCTGCAAATAACTTATAAGTTCTTTATCATTTTTATGGATAATGGCAAACATAATTGATAGATAGTGATTTGGAGATTAACAGGGTTGAAACTATTAGAGACTTGGGAGTCTATTTCAACACTAATGTAAGCTTCACAGAGCACATTGAAATAACTGCTAATAAAGCAATGAAATTACTAGGCTTTATGTTCAGGTCACTAAAAGAATTTACTAATATCTACACCCTAAGAAACATTTATTGTGCAATTGTTAGATCAGTTGTAGAATATGCTTGCCCTGTCTGGTCCCCTTATTATGCTGTGCACATCTCACACTTGGAACGAATCCAAAAAAAGTTTTTAAGATCCATTGCATATCGATTGGGCATCCCAAGTAAATCTATAAATTATAATGAGTTAATGTCTGTCCTAAATCTTGAAAATCTGAACCAGAGGCGACAGTTTTTTGATATGTGTACTTTGTTTAAGATTGTTAATAATTCTATTGATTCTCCAGACTTACTTGCTAGAATTGGCTTACATGTACCATCTAGCAATTTAAGAGGAAACACATTGTTTAACCTTGATTTTCGTAGAACCAATTATGGTTACCATTCACCTTTACTTAGAAGCTGTCGTTCTCTGAATGATATTATTTTGAAGACTGATTTGGATGTTTTTAACATAAGTTTGGATAGATTCAAAAGAATTTTAAAGTCGATCCTAAAATGATCGTTTTTTCTATTTGTATTCAATTTTAAGCGTATTATGTTGTTTATGTTTTGATACCTACTACAAAATATTTGTTTAGGCTTATGTAATATTGTTTTTTTATACTAACTTGTCTGTTGCCTACTTGTTATTCCAAATATTTATTATTGCGTGTACCTACACTTTAAGTCTACCTTTGTAAAAATGGCATGTCCGTAAATAAAGAATTTATTTATTTATTTATTTATAGATATTTTCAATTTTTATGTTAATATTTTTTTAAGCAAAAGAACACGAACGAAAACGGATAAATGTTATATGAAAATTCAAATTCAAAATATCGAAGTTAAATAACGGACATAAAGCCACTAGCGCCATCTAACGGATAAACATTTTAAAGAAGAATTAAACGGTTTTATGAAGAAAGTATATCCAACTTGTAAGTTTTAGTGTTTCCGTATAGTATGATAGAACCATATTTTGTCCCTATTTCAAACTATTTAATCATTTAAAAGAAGATATATTGTCATTTTGCATTTTAAAATAATCATCACCAGTAATGGTCGACTGTAAAATTTTTGTTGCTGGCTCCTTGTTGCCAGCAACAAGGAGCTCACTTCACATGGGTACAACTACATTAGAAATTTTTAGTAGGTAATATTATCTTTGATACAGTTGGGAATTTTTTTCAAGGTTTTTAGAAAGTCAAGAAGAAAACTTCATTCTTTATTTATAGATTTACATAAAAACTATAATTGAATGAAAATGTTTACTTACAAATTTTTCTATCAAAACCAGACGAGGCAAAATACTGTCCCTCAGGATGAAAATCAACAGAAAATATTTCGCCCTCGTGGCCTTCACAAACCATAATAGGTGCAAAAAGGTTGGAGGTACGTGCAGGAGCCTAAAATTTTAATACTCAACTTCAAAGAACTGATAATTAATTATACATAATTAAAATAAAAAACTTACAGGCTGTAACTGACTGACTTGTTTGTTTTTATTACTGCTGAGGGCCACCTCATTTTTCGATTTCTTCTGAACCGACACTAGGGCCGATTCTTCGGCTTTTCTTTTATTTTCCATTACCATGACTTTGAGGATTTAAATAATTTACAAACTGTTCAAAGGGCTCAAGCAAACACCAAATACCAGAAAATCGAAATACTCAAACACAAAACAAAAACAAACCAAATGGAATTTACAATTGACAACTGATTGACTTTGCCTTTTGAGTGTCATTTGTCAATGATGAATACGAGAGCGAAAGTGAACTCGAACCGAACGTCCTACAACTTTTGGAGCAGCAGAAAGATACCAAACATCTAATCTTCGATTTAAAATAATTATGTATTGTATTGTATTTCATCATTAAGTTATTTTTCAAACAATAGAGTAAGCTCTATTTATTCCACTCCGTATAAGAACCATGATAAACGCAGTTATACTTCAAAAGGCGATATCCGAACGGTCGGATTACCTACGAAATAAATACTATAGAGTTATTAGAGTGCACGTAAGGTGGGTTTGGCTTGCTCACTTCGTGCACTCGGAGTGACTCCATTCGCACTCCAGCCGTTCGGGTATTGCTTTTTACCGTATTAGGGTATTAGGGGTGACTCCAACAGCTTCACTCCACTCCAACTCCGTGCTGAATAACCGAACCCAGCTGTAGTCGTTGTGATATGGGAAACGACAGTCTTTACTACCGGAACATCTCTTTCGAGGTGGAACTTCTCAAGTGAGCTCCATTTATTTTCCATTTGATAGCTGTCTCATAATGGTGGATTCACATGGATACATCGATGTATAATAGAAGAATTAAACGTCAACTTTCAAAAACAGTGTGCAGTGTGCACTGTATAAATTTGCCACCCAATCGAAATCTCCATAAGAAAACGCTATTCGTGTTCGAATTTTTTTATTTGTTTGACATGTATGCGTCAGTTTGCGCTTGCGCATTTGTATTTGCCAATGTAGTTCTTGCATTTCCACATTATTTTTCCTACTACTTTGGTCTTGGGTAACTTCGATTATTGACGCCTATCTATTTTTGTTTGTGTAATTATTGTTATTTGGATAAAGTTTATCCGAAAAACTGTTATTTGTGCAGGATCTTGTCGTGAACAGGTAACTATTCCGTAAACTACACTATTTTAATATTTACAGGAAGATTACCGGAGAATCAACAACAAAAGACGGTGGTTTTTTGGTAAGAAAAGCCCAAGGCGGCCCCGGTTTTTTTTCGAAATCAACACCCTAATCATTATTTGATTTTCAAGCTTCAATTTAGAGTCAATCTCATGAATATTTACTTCCAAAAAATAAAAAAAAAAAACATCAATCGATTTTCGAGGCCGAGGATTCATTTTAGCCATGTTGTGTTATGTGACTTGTGGCGGTAAATTTGAATTTTATACAGGTATTTTGTAGAAAGTTATTATTGAAACGGTAAGTTATAAAATTCAACAAAAAAAAACAGAAATAGTCAAACAACATAGTGAATTAATTAAGTGTTTCTATTACAGATTTTTTGCTTAGTTATTTGAAGTTATCGGTCTAAAAATGATGGAGCCTGTCGCTCCAGGCACTGAAGACGAACTGCCCGATTATAAATCATTAAATAAGCAGGTAATTATTTTTTTTTCATGCACCGATACAAAATACTTATAATATTTTGGTTTTTGTGGTGTAAATTTTATTTTAGTTGGTAATTTTCTATAGGTAAGTATGTTTATCTTAAAACGATTTCTAGTAGGTATTGTGTATTACTAAGTTGTACATTTTTCCAAAAAATTGTACATTTTACATTGTGGAGTGAAATCATATTAGTTAGCGCTCACATCTCACTGTCACTTTTATATTACTCATTTAAAACTTCTGAAAGTAAATAGTGGCGTAGTAATTCTAACAATAATTAGAAAATAATCCCAGAATAAATTTGTCTTTGGATGCCTAATCAAATTTGGAAAGGAAAAAATATTGTAATTTTTATGAGAAGATAATTTCTATGGAATTTTATTTGATTCCATTGGTCTGAAATTTGTTAAAAGTGCTAAAAGATACAGGTAGTTGAAACTTATTTTTTAAACATAAATTAGGTATCAGTGTTCCAGAATATGGTAATTTATGGATTTGCTCATGAAATTTAAAATAAAATATGATTATCTACATTATTTTTATCAAACTTTAAATTATTTAATTTAGCAAGAAAGGAGCTATTCCTATGCGGGATGTCTAAAATACAATAAGAGATACTAGGGCCATTAAACTAGAAAAAGTTACCATTTTTGAAAGTTATTGAAAATATATTTTCCTACGAGCGTGCGCAAAGAAGTACTTTTCCGCACGCATTCCAGGGCTCAAAGTTACACTTTTCCGCACTCAGTGCGGATACAGGCCTTATCCGCACTGAGTGCCGAAAAGTAAAAATACTTGTCAAGCAACAATAAGTGCACCTGTCGACTTTGACACATGATGACAAATTTTTTCTCGGTTTCTATATCAGCCAACATCAATACAAACACCAAATATAAATTAACCTTGACACATTGTCAGATTTGTTCTCTATTTATATGCAAGAATCTACAAACTTTATCATCAAATTTAAATGCTTTAAGATGAACAGCTCTGACGAGGATTTTCTGTTATTTTTTTTATTAGGTAATTTTTTGATAAATGTATAGGTTCGCTTCAAGTTAATTAAAAATAATTGAACAAATTATGGGTTTAAAAAAAAAAAAAAATCTTGTTACCTACCTGATATGAAGCTCGTAGGAAAAATGTTGTTCCTAACACGTGCGCAAAGTGTCTTTTCCGCACGCAAACACGTATCCGAACTCCGCTTCGCGTCGTTCGTATAACTGTGTTTGCGTGCGGAAAAGTGACACTTTGCGCACTTGTTAGGAAAATAACTATTTCGTTGTTGCCAAATTTTTATTAGTTTCCGAGATACAGGGTGATAAAATTGACTTTAACAAAATTCATCCTCTAGAATTTTGTTATTTTTCTAGAAACTAAAGGGGATTTTTTAACAAAATCTTTTTGGGTAAAAACAGGAAATTTGGAAATTCATTACATAAAATTTCAGAAACATGAGATGTCTCTAAAAATCGACTTTAAATAAAACAAAATGCATCCTTTTATTACATTTTGCTGTTTTTCTGGAAAACTAAGGGAAATTTTTTCAACATCTTTTTGGGTAAAAACAGGAAATTTAGGTGCTCAATATATTGGAATTTTAAATCCTTCCACTTAAAAATCACATATGAGAAATCTCTAAAAATTGAATTTTAATTAAAAAAAAACAAAATGCAGCCCTTTAGGTTTTGCTGTTTTTTTGGGAAACAAATGGTAATTTTTTTTTAAATCTTTTTGGATAAAAACAGGAAATTTTGGTGTTCATCATATCCGAATTTCAAATTCTTCCACTTAAAAAGCATATGAGAAGCAATTGAAAATCGAGTTTTAATTAAACAAAATGCATCATTTTAGATTTTGGTGTTTTTCTGGAAAACTAATGAGGATTTTTCTAAAATCTTTTTGAGTGAAAACAGGAAATTTGGTCTTTTTGGATGAAAACAGGAAATTTAGGCCCTCATCATATTTAAATTTCAAATTTGTCCGCTCAAAATTCACATGAGAAATCTTTAAAAATGGACTTCAAGTTAAACAAAATATGTCCTTTTAGATTTTGCTGTTTTTCTGGAAAACTAATTAGAATTTCTTCAAAATTTTTTTGGGTGAAAACAGAAAATTTAGACGCTCATCATATTGAAAATTTCAAATTCTTCCACTCAAAATTCACATAAGAAGTCTCTAAAAATCGACATCAAGTTAAAGAAAATGCGTCGTTTGAGATTTTGCTGCTTTTTTGGAAAACAAATGAGGATTTTTTTCAACTCTTTTTTTGGTAAAACAGAAAATTTAGGCGCTCATTGTTATTTTAAATAATGGCACAACATCGCCTGCACGGTTCAGAGGTCTCTAATAGAATAGACTTGACATACTTTGCTATGTAGACACTGGTGGGAACTGTATTAAAAGAAAGGCAGTTGAGTTAATAAACCTAGTTTCTTTAATAGATTTCAATCAGTTATCAATAAATACTGGGGTAGCACGATAACGACAGGATCGAACAAGTATTTTAGAAATCTGATAAAAGCCCAGCGCGTCACCGACGTATTACTACCTCGAAAAGAAAGCGACTGACGTACTTTCTCGGTTGTTCTTTAATCCCTTGGTTATCCTTTAAAACGCTTTGCGTCTCACATACCCTCTTACATCGGCAACAAAATCTTCTAACAATTTTATATTTTTCCAAAAAACTAGTGAGGGAAAATTTGGAAAATCTTTTGGCGAAAAAAAAAATTAGAAGTTCATTATATTGAAGTTCTAAATTTTTCCAATGAAAAATGACAACATGAGAAATTCTCAAAAATCAAACTATAAAAATCAAGCTTCAAAAACTAAATTAAAATAGTATATTACATTACGAGTATAGAAAGTGACAAATTTCACACGAGTGTATGAAAGACGCTTTCTTACAAGTGATGTACACCATTTTTCCTACGACCAGAATCCGATTTAAACCAATTTTCTCTTATTTTATTTCTTTTCATTTTCAAAACATGTGCTGAAAGTTTTTTCAATCCACGTATTGAAAGTAAATTGTGATGTCAATCAACACGTGTGCTGAAAGTACTTTTAGCAAGCGTTTTGAAAGTACTTTCGGCACGTGTGTGATATTTCGCGCTTCCCAAAGAACTAGCTAGTGCGGATTTTGTCATTTTCGTATGTGGTCGTAGGAAAAAAAAATGCATATGGCTCTTACATATTTTTGTTTTTTTGAAAAACTAGTGAAGGAGTAAGTATTTTTGAAATTCGTGCGGTAAACCTGGAAAATTAGGAGCTTATCATATGAAATTCCAAATTTTTTCAGTCAAAAAACACAATATGAGAAATTCTTGAAAAATAGGCTTTGAAAATTTGGAAAAAATACACCCTCTCACATTTTGATAGATTTTTTTTTAAACTCGTTGCTAAGAGAAGATTATATTTTGGAGTAAAAAGAGAGAAAAATTAGACCATCATATTGAAATGTCAAATTTATCCAGTAAAAAAACACAACTTGAAAAATTCTTGAAAATCAAGCTTCAAAAATTAAATTAAAAATACAGTATCTCATATTTTCATGTTTTTCTGAAACACTAGTAAAAAATAAAAAATTGAAACTCTTGGGGTGAAAAGTGGAAAACTTAGTGCTTTTAATACTGAAATTTCAACATTTTCCAGTGGAAAACCACAACACAAAAAATTCAAGAATACATAGTTATTTATTATACAAGACGGTAAAAAGAAGCTTTTAATTCCACGAACAGGTAAAGCTTTTTTACCTAAAATTTTACATAAAATCTGTTTTTTTTTTTAAGATAAAAGTCAAAATGACATTATGTTGGCAATACAATGTAAAATTGTCAATTTTTCAAATTTTTTATGTAGAAAAGGCTTGTGTTGCCAACATAGTTACTAAATTTTTGACTTGGGGAATTATCTTTAAAAAAAAAACATACTTTAGATTATGACAAATTGACAAAGTACCTAACAAACTGACACATTTCTGGTGTTGTCAATCTTGCAACATATGAGATTTCTGTCAAAAACACTATTATTATTATAAAAGATTTGAACAAGTGGGTAAAATTGACGTATGAGTGGGTAAAATTGACGTATGGGTGGGTAAAATTGACAAATGAGTGGGTAAAAACTGTTCGATTCCACTACTTCAAATAAAGTGTTACTTTAACAACGAGTTTTGAGTCAAATAAATGATAGTTTACCATTCCCGATAGAATAAAATCATTTTTTTAACAAACAAAACAAATTGCACCTTTTTACAGTTCTATGTAATAAAGAGAAATTTTGGAAACTCTTGTTTCGTCTTGGTGTGAAAAGAGGAAAATTAGGAGATATGAATTGAAGAAAATGCACCCTCTTACATATTTATGTTTTTCTGAAAAAATTGTGAGGAGAAAATTTTGAAACTTTTGGAGTAAAAAGAGGAAAATTAGGAGCTTGTTATATTAAATTATTATTAAACCTTAGACTTCAGACCATAATATACATATTTTTTCCTAGTTTTATAGAGAAATTTCGACATATGTGGCAACATTGTGCAATCATTTTATCATTGGTTTGCGCGTGTGAGTCAAAAGTGTTCTTTCTTTAGACTCTTAGGCCAAAGTTATTCATACCTTTCCCTAATTTCATAAAAAAAAATCGAAAAATGTGGCAAAGTTGCACAATCAGTTTATCATTAGTTTGCGTGAGTCAAGAGTGTTTTTCCAAAAGTTTTTCCTCAGATTAAGAAATTTCAAGAAATGTCCCACTCTCGCAGGGTTTCTTTAGAACAAGACATTTATGTTTTGCCCTAGATTTTAGTGAAACTTCGATAAATGTGGCAACGTTGTACAGTGTGGTCATTTTATCTTGATAACATTTTAAACTGTTATAATTTCTTTATTTTTAAAGTTATTTGAATAAATAAAAAAACATACTGTAGGGTTGCTTTCCAAGTTTTAGATAGGATGGATAAGAAACAAAAGACTAATATATTTTGACAGTTATGCGCACAAACAGTATTTTTTGAATGGAACACCCAGTAAATTTTTAGTTTGTTTGATAATATGTTTCATTCTTATTGCAATATATACAATACAATACAATTGAATACAATTCACTTTATACTAACATGCAGAAATGTTTTATTTATTTTAACTCAAAATTTTGATTACCTACACAGATTACCTGCAAGGGTAGGTAGGTAGGCAGAATTTTCCATTAGAATAAATAACACATTTCTACATGTAAATATGAAGTAAATTGTATTCAATTGTATTGTATTGTATATATTGTAATTAGAATGGAACATATTACCAAACAAACTAAAAATTTACCAGGTGTTCCATTTAAAAAACTGCTATTATTTACGACTAATGTATAATGTGCGTATTATATTTGTGATTTTGGCAGTATAATGACATATGTTATTCCTCCAGGGATTAATGACGAGTAGCGGGATTAATGGTCATTATTCCACAAAAGTGTCAGTGTCAAACGTGTAGTACTTGTGGATTTGTATTGAAAATTATGAGACGGATGAAATTTGTCGTAAATAAAGTAGAGTATACTACTCGCAATAATGGCTATTATTCCCTCGGAATGTTACTCCCTCGCCGCTAACGCGGCTCAGTTCGTAATAATCCTCGGGAATAATAGCTATCATTATTGACTCGTGGTATAACCTACTATTTGTGTGCATAACTGTCAAAATATATTAGTCTTTTGTTTTTTGTCCACCCTATCTAAAACTTGGAAAACAACCCTACAGTATGTTTTTTATTTATTTAAATAACTTCAAAAATAAAGAAATTATGACAGTTTGAAATGTTATCAAGATAAAATGACCACCCTGTACAATCATTTTCATGTAGGTATGGTCGCTGACTTTTCTTTCCACATGCAGACGGTAAAATATTAGATATTGAAGTAATATTTCTTGATAAATCTAGAATAATTTGTGTGATCTATCTGAATATGTATCTAGATGGATTCAGAACTAGAAGATTGCAAAGGCGTTTTAAGTTAAGTACGATATTGGGTACTTTATATAACCAACTTAAGGAAAATAAGAAACGTTCTGTCACTAGTATTGTGTTTTTAAATTGATCCCCTAAAACACGGTTCTGTATCGAAATATTCTACGCAACATCTGTTATAGATGAGTGTCTGTAACGCACTTGGATATTATTGACAGTGTTTCGGTCTAAAGAGCATCTCCAAGGAAAATAAATTTTATTTTACTCTGGTATACAATTAACTATTAAGCTGGATTTATACAGCTAATAAAATAAAATAAGATAACATAAGATAAAATAACAAATACATAGCTAATGCATTCCTTATTTTATTTGTTCTTTTCTGTATAAACACTTTAAGGGTATCTCATGAGGTTAACTGTTATTTCTTATTTGTAATTTTATCTTATTTTATTTTATTTGCTGTATAAATCCAGCTTTATAGTTCATCAATATTATGATTGGTACAGCCAATAACTTTTTTTAGTTTTTGCAATCAGTATTGACACAAATTTACTTGAATCCAGAAGAATGTTCAGTTTAGACCTAAACAATGTTCCATAAGAGCAGTTAAGATTGTATAGCTTTGTAAATATAATATTCAGTGCGGTAAAGACACTACATTACATATTAAAAATCGCGCCATCTGATTAGTGGAGTGGAAACAATGTCAAAAAGTGAATGTGTGTCCAGCCATACTATCCGTAGTATTAAAACATTGAAAGGATGCTGATAGATCATTCAAATTTGAATGTTCTTTTTGAAAGAGTTGTTTTGTGTTCAATACAACTTTTATTCGGGTTTCGTGATCTCGGGAGACCACATTACAATTTTTAACAATTTTGTTAAAAATTGCATTACAATAAAATTTATGCTTTTGGGTCCCTGTTAGTTTACAGTAACCTTAAATCAGGCATAACATCATTTTGAAGCAACCATCATAGATTTGTTCAGAATAGCGGAAATAGTGATAAATTTGATAATTATTGATTTTGATTCCCATTTGCAAATAAATCCAATTAATTTTTGAATCTAATAATATCCAATTTTGTAAGTTTTCAAGGATTTATGTTTTTACAACATGTATCTGGTCAGAAAAATTAATCTTGTCTTCTATTATAGGAAGAAGAACGGGATCGGTTGCTCAGTTTGAAGGCGAGGCTGAGAAACGGCCAAGTCGAGAATGTCTTCGAACTCAACTATGTCAATAGTGCTGAACATTGGTATTGCAAGGTAACTATAACTATTGGTATTGATTATTATTTTTGGTTTACAATAGAAAGTGATGCTGTGATGTGATGATAATTAATTCAGTTTAGTGCAGTGGTTCCCAAACTGGGGTTAAAATTGAAATAAAGATGTCTACAATCCGGCATCAGCGCATACTTCATCATCATTGCTACAGCGCATGCTCGCTGCCCACTGTCATGCCCATTCCTCCTCTTCCAAAGTCCAGTTCAGACGAGTTACAGTACCTAAGTAAAAAAAAAGGGGGCGCAAATGAAAAAAGTTTGGGAACCACTGGTTTAGTGGATGATCCAGTTTTCCTGTTAACAAATATATGATTCTTCCTGGCTTGTTCACATCACATTATTTATTGATAAGTGAAAAATAATGTTGACTAAGGCTTAACCATCGTTTTAAGATACATTCAGTGTATATTGACTGACATAAATATTCCACTTGAACTATTATTTATTTCCATTCCAAGATAGGACAATTTTTTTTCAATAGATTTGTCCAGGGATTTATCATAAATTATTTCAAATATCTGCTGATTTTAAGTAAATCCGTGTCTTCAAAAATGTTGAAAACCTATTATAAAATTTGAACAACATAATTAAAACCACTTATGTTTCTTAGGTCTGCGAATGTCCGATCATGGGACGAGTGTTCCAGCACGAATTGGGCCGGAGACACACGCAGAACTGGCAGGCTTTGGAACATCGTAGTCGCGCCAATAACGAGCACTTTGACGATGGACCGCCAGGCGTTGATCACTCTGAAGAAGTCGTTAGTCAAATGGATATTGCACCTGGGGAACCGGTGCCTCCGGGGTTTGAGAACGAAATCCGCGAAGCACAAATACAGGTACAACTTTAAATAGAAATGTTCAATTACATATTACTAGTTGCTGATTCCGTTCTTCCACTTCTTTTTGATCAAAATTCATCCAAAGTGGAGAGACAAATTTGCATATTATTTTAATAATAAAAAAATATGTAAATGTCAAAGTATCTAAATTAAATTATCTTTTTTTCAGGAACGTCTTGATGGTTTCAAAGTGGGCCCCTTAGTAGCCTTAGAATACTTACTGGAAATGTTAGATTACGACGTATCAAAGGAACCAACCTATTTATGCATTTTATGTGACAAAAAAGGCGACCCCAGAACAGTACTGACCCATTTGGCCAGCTACAATCATATCTCTCAGGTTGAACATCATTCGCATATATTTTGACTTTAAATTTCACAGATATTTTTTCCAGTATTTGCAAAGACACTTTCCGTCGTGTTACCGCGCTTTGGCCCCCTACACGACCAAACAGTACAAGAGAAACTGGCAGGCGGCCTTGCAAAAGATCGCCGAAGCTATTGAGAAAAAATTTGGCAGGTTGAGGCCGTTTTGTATTGAGCAGGCCAAATTTGAGCAGGACCGTATGCATTATTTGACTAAAGTCATCAAAGGCAAGCATTTTTGTGAACAAAATGGACCGAATTTTGTCGAATTGGTTGTTCATGATGAGTTGACGAAAACTTTTGATGGTAAGTTTAATTTTTATCTAAAAAATTAATAATTTTACTCTAAATACTAATGAGTTTAACAAAATATGTCCATTGTTGTTATAATACATAATATTTTCTTAAGATATAGAAATATAAAAATACAACATTGAGCATAAAAATAATATATTTTTCAATTTTCACTGTTTAAATTGTCCTCATAAAATTTCTACACCAAGTAATAGGCCCTCTGAAGTAAGTGATTTTTCAACTTATGCTTAAGGATATCAAATTGTAAGCTTTGTCAATCTGTAGGTGGTTTGTTATAAATTTTTATAATTGAAAATTGAACGTTTTTTTGTATATGTATAAGTTAAATTGCTTCTCACATTGACAAGATCAGTCCTTCCCCTTGTATCATAGCAATGTCCCCTCATGTATTCAAGAAAAAGGTCAAAATTTTGCTCAAAAAACAATGCTGCTTCCAGGATATATTGACTTGCTAATGTTAATAGGTTTGTTCGAACTTAGTTCAGAATTAGTTCTGAATTGAATTGCACATGCGCATTTGTTTATTTATTTTATTTATTTATTTATTGGTTCTTCTTACAAACACCATACAAAACAGTAATTACATGTTACATACATAAATAAGGACAATACACAAAAGAGGGCTAAGTAGCTAGCTTAACAGGCAATATCATCTATGAAAGATATTAGATTGCAATTGGAAAAATCTAAAGCACAATTATTTTGCATTAAAGTATTACATGTCTTAAGCATAGATGTTAGGGGTGAATCTTTAGTGTCTATATAAAATATACCTACATTTCTTTGCCTTAAATTAGTCTTTGGTACTTTAAAATATATATCATTTATCAACAGGCAATTCTTATACTTAATATTATTTAGAATGTAATATATAAAGATCACAGATTGCTTCTGTCTTCTAAATACTAGAGAGTGGAACTGAAAACTATTTAACATAGATCTGTATGACACCATATACGGATATATATTATTTTTCCTTACATACAGGAATCTGAGAAATCTTTTTTGGACTTTCTCAATTAAATCTATATTTTGATTTGCTTGAGGAGACCAGATGATAGATGCATACTCCAAATGCGAGCGAACCAATGCATTGTACAACAAAATAATGGTATCAATATGTACAAAATGTTTACTGTTCCTAATGATAAACCCTAGAGCCCTGTATGCCTTGTTCACTATATACTCATAATGAGTTTTAAATCTAAGAGATGGCTGAAAATATACACCGAGATCCTTAATGTTATCTACACGTTTTAGCATCTTACTATCTATCATAAAATCATGTTTGACTAGATTTAATTTACGGGAATAAGACATTACACAACATTTATCCACATTTAAGAACATGTTATTTTTTGAGAACCAATCAACAGTACTATTCAAATCAACCTGTAACAGGGCACAGTCATTTTCACACGATACAGTTTTAAAAATTTTAAAATCATCAGCGAAGAGCAAACTATCAGAATGTTTAACAACACCAGGTAAACTATTTATAAATATGGTGAACAATATAGGACCTAGATTGCTGCCTTGGGGAACACCAGATGTTGCTGTGAAATGTTCTGAGCTGGTTACTTCTGATAGTGACTCTCATAGATGCATATATTTCTGGATGCATTGACACATGAGGCTCACAAATAACTCCTGGAAAATTAGCAGTTAACATTTGTTTCAGGTCCTCAGGCTTCGTATTAGGTTGCAGCCTAGAGACATGAAGCGATACAAACTTCGGTACTTTTTGCACACCATTGGCGCTTTCATTTCTTCCAACTATGAAACGACGTTTTCGTCTAACATTTTGCCATCCACCTGCATCATCCCTGTTCCCATCCAAATCCTTTGTTGAGTTTTGAATCTCACGAACCTTTGCAGCACTCTGAGCCTCATGTATTGCAGCCTTCACCTGCTCAGGTTGAATTTGATTTGTTTTTGTTGTTGTGTTTTGATTCTGAGACGAAGTAGGGTTATGTTTAGGCTTAGGCACCGGAAAGGGTACTGGAACGGTTACTTCGGTTACTGCCGGCAACACTGGAGAACAAGGGAGCAGGACCAGTTGCCTTTGCTTGACCTTGATCATTGGCGTCGGCAGAGAGCAATGGAATATTATCCTTACACTTATGTTTGATTTTTTCCTCCAGAAGGGTAACTTTTTCTTTTAAAAGGGAACAATTCTCGTGAAGAACAATGTTTTTCGTTTCCATTTCCTTTACAAGCTTTTGATAAAGGACGTTTTCGGCAGCTACAACGTTGTTCTTGTCAGCCACTGGAACGTTGTTTACATTCACGTTTTCACTTTTTTTATTCAACAATACCATGCACTTAAATGGAACTTCAATTTGCACAACTTGCACTCAATAAACTTGGAATTTACAAGGAAATTGTCGGAGCAATATAAACACTCGTCTGCATCGCCCGCCATCTTAAGGTTGGTGTTGGTGTTGGTGTCCGATATGAACAAATGCGCAAGCGCAATTCAATTCTGAACTAAGTCCAAACAAGCCTAATATGTTGCGAGCCTTAAATATTGGTTTACAGCTACCTATCTGGTACATAGCAAATATTGCTATTACACATCTTTTCTGTGCAACAAAAACTCGAGAGACTTCAGAACTATTATTGCCCCAGAATACAACTCCATTCCTCAATCTTGATTGAATGTAAGCATAGTAGGCAGTTAATACAACCTCACAATTTACCTCACGTGCCAGCACCCTCAGGGCATAGCAGTGCTTTGATATTTGATTAGCCAGGCAGTCAATATGGTCACTCCAGTGCCAGTCCAGCCGTGAATCCACCTTTACCCCCAAAAAACTGACCGATCTTGTAGTGTTTAAAGCTAAACTATGACCACAAACAAACTGAGTGGGAGATCAATCCCGCTGATATTCACAACCAGGTTATTTGAGTCAAACCAACCTTGAAAAAAACCCAACGTTGTGCGAAGTTTGTTACTTAATTTCTGCATTCCTTCTGTCAAAAAGACCACTAACATGTCATCTGCAAACTGAACTGTAGACTGATCAGCCATATGTGCAAGCTCATTAGTGTAACGTTTGCCCAGCGACTCTGTGTCTACGGGGCAACTGTGAGGGGAATGCAGTTGTAAAAAAAAATGGCTGATTTCATTCATAAAATACTCATCTGCGTGCGGAACTTTTTGGAAGTGTTATCGTATTGCAACTCGTACACGAAAATCGACAATGACCAAACCTCCGCCACTGGATATTTCAATATAAATCGATATTCCAAGATGGGAGGATAAAATGACGTGAGCCCTGGCCAATAGCGAGACGTAAGTCGACGTTAGCTCATTGACAACTGTATGGTTTCCCATGGCAACGGCGATCCTGCCAAAAACTCCACCAATCAGGTTCATCCAGGCCGGATGCTTGCCAAATAGTCAAAAGCTGATGGTATCTTTAGAAAATGTTAATTTTCTACAATATACCAAATTGAAGAAATCAGGATTAAAATAAGAATAGATCTAACAACCACGTTAAAATATTTAGCGTTTTATTATTGTTATCAATATTTTGTTATTTAAATGAACTATACTTCATGCCTAGTATTTTCGCTTTTTTATAATTAAACGTGGCAACATGGCATATTCACTTACGAATTCCTTCCGTAGACTCAGATCCGCTGGGCAAACAATAGATAATGTACAGCAGTGTTCCAAGGATTGATCCTTGAGGAACGCCTTTTTTGACCTGGCTAGATATTGATGTTAATGTTTCCCCATTGCGTCTTTCAATAATTTGCTGCTTTCTATCAAATAATAGATGAGATGATATAAGTTGTAACGGAACGACCCTCAACCCGGACATTTTTTAGTTTCGATAGCAGCACTTCATGATCAACACTGTCAAAAGCTTTAGACAAATCCAAATACATCGCCACTGTCTCGTTTCTCCCATGAAGGGACTCCCAAGATTTTGGTTAGTGCCTGATAAATAGCTCTGGTGGTACTTTTTTTTTTTAAACCCATTTTGATATGTAGAGAGCAACTGCTCGTTCTCAAAGAACGAAATAACGCCGTTGCCGTCATATACTATATGTATTATTTCCCCAAATATTTTGCCAAAGTTATTCAAGAGTGCAATGGGTCGAACTTTTTTTATTTCCTGTGCGTCTCCTTTTTTATAGATTGGAATTATTTGGGCTATTTTCCGTGTATCTGAAAAAAATACTCCTGTGATAAGCACTAGATTAATTATATGAGACAGTGGTTCAGCAATTTCATCTGCTACTTTCCTAATTAAAATGATTGGGATTTGATCTTGCTTTCTTTTTGAATACATGTTGTGGTTCCATTACTTAACACTCTTGAAATCAATAGTTGAAATGTTGCCTGTATCAGTAGAAACCCTGGTACAAACATCAATAATGTAAGAATCAAACTTTTTATTAATAAAAAAGAACATTGGGAAACTTTTTATTTAAAAAAAAATACAAATTTTAATTCCAAATTGGTAATAAGAGAAAACGGTTTTTTTGCTAGTGTAGTTACAGGAAGCTCCCTATCGCAATCATCCAACGCAACAATCATGTCTTCTGGTGCATATTTCAGCAATGTCCGTTTTTCAGAAACCATTTCTTGATTTAAACCTGACAGGACCAATTGTTGACACTCTAAAGCTCCAAACATTGACAGGGGTGTCATCTATTGGATCTACAACCGTCACATTCCCCAACCCCATATCTAAGTTTCTTTTTAATTCAATGCAAGAGACACACTACAATGTTAAAATATTTTTACCGCCAAAAATCCATAAGTTAACACTAGTGTCAACATTTGAATCACCCCTCGATTTGTGCTCCAATAGTTGACACATTTGCGGGTTATTCAAGAGATAAAACAATAATAAATAGGGACATAAAGCTTCCGTATTTTTTGCTCGGTACCCGTATCGGTATCGTACTGCGCATGTGCAGAAGCGATACGGACGCCGAGATACCGTACGTACAACGTAACGTTACGGCCC